CAGCAGGTCGAGGGTGCGGTGCCCGGGAGTGGCCACTGCACTCCAGTCTGGGCAACAGAGTGAGACTCCAACTCAAAAAATAAATAAATAAATAAAAATTAAATTAAATTAAATATATATTTTAAAAATCCAGATCAGCCTTTGTCATGTAAAATTAAACATTTTGAAACATAAAAAACCACAAAAAACATTTGTGAGGAATAATAGCAAATAACCCGCAGTCTGTAGCAAGTGCCAGATGTTTTCTGTGCTTTACGTAGGTTGACACATTTAATCCTCACGACTGCCCCATAAAGTGGGTGCTGTTGCAATCCCCACTTTGTAAGTGAGGCAACAGAGGCACGGAGGGAGGGCATGATTTGCTGGAGATCTCACAGCTAGCATGGTGTGGGGCTGGGGTTTGCGCCCAGGAAGACTGGCCTTAGAGTCTGGCTTTTGATCCCCAAGCTCGGTTGCCACGGGTGGAAGACAAGTGTCGCCGCAGAAAGGAAAAAGAAAAGAAACTGACCTGAGAGAAAGTTCGGGAAAAAGGTGCACTGCTATAGCCTACCTCAGGCCAGGCAGGAGCCAGGGCCTGACGCGGCTGAGGAGGCAGCGCTGAGGTCAGGAAGCAGTGTCGGAGGGCAGGGGTCTTGGTTTCACGCTGGCCCTTCACCGGCCTGCGTGGCTGTGGGCACCTTTGGCAGGGCCAGTGTCAGGCGCGGGAGATGGAAAGGGGAAACACCCCTCTGCCGCATCCCTACCATGTGCACGTTCAGCGTAACTGAAAGCTGCTCAGGGCTTCACGGTTATCTCTGATGTGAGGAAGCATTTTCCGAAGTGGCCTTTCACTAAGGGAGGCGGTGGATTTTTCCTAAGAGTCTCCCAAATGAGATTATATTTTAAGTCAGCCCATCCGTGTGCAACAGCAACAGAAAAAAGCTTTAGGTAATTATTTATTTATTTATCTTGGTGTTGGAGTCTCACTCTGTCGCCCAGGCTCAAGGGCGGTGGCATGCTCATGACCCCCGCAGCCTCGACCTGCGGGCTCCGGCGATCCTTCCGCCTCAGCCTTCCAAGTAGCTGGAACTGCAGTCACGTGCCACCACTCCTGGCTGATTTTTAAGTTTACTGTACAGATGAGGCCTTGCCCAGTTGCCCAGGCTGGCCTCAAACTCCTGGGCTCAGGCGATCCTCTCGCCTCGGCCTCCTCCCAAAGTGCGGGATTACAAGCTTGAGCCACAGCACCCAGCCAAGGTAATGAAATTCCACATGAAACTTTAAAAGATACAGCACAGTATGTTGCATGGATTGGCCCCGTTAAATTAGCACTTACTGGAGCCGGGCTCGGTGGCTCAGCCTGTAATCCTGCACCTTGGGAGGCTAAGGTGAGTGGATTGCCTGAGCCTGTGTGTTCGAGACCTGCCTGGGCAACTTGGCGAGACCTCATCTGTGCAATAAATAAAAAAAAATCAGCTGGGTGTGGTACCGCGCGCCTGTAATTCCGGCTACTTGGAAGGCTGAGGTGGAAGGTCTGGGCAACAGAGTGAGACTCCAACTCACACACACACACACAAAATTAGCACTTACTGAAATATGTTGGGAAAGTTACTTGTGGTTCGTTTCCAAAAATGAGTTTTAAAAAATGTAAAATTCTGGCTGGGTATGGTGGCTCAAGCCTGTGGACTCAGCACTTTGGGAAGCGGAGGTGAGAGGACTGCCTGAGCCCATGGGTTTGAGACCAGCCAGGTCAACTTGGTAAGACCTCATCTCTACAATAAATCCAAAAAAATTAGCTGGGTGCAGTGGCATGTGCCTGTAGTTCCAGCTACTTGGAATGCTGAGGTGGGAGGATTACCTGAGCCCAGTAGGTGGAGGCTGCGGTGGCCGTGAGCATGCCACTCACTGCACTCCAGCCTAGGTGACCGAGTGAGACTCTGACTCAAAAAAAAGAAACATTCTGGCCTAGTGTGGTGGCTCATACCTATAATCCCAGCACTTTGGGAAGCTGAGGCAGGAGGATTGCTTGAGCCCAGGAGTTTAAGACCAACCTGGGCAACACAGTGAGATCTCATCTCTAAAAAAAAATAATTAACTAAGATTGGTGGCGCAAGCCTGTAGTTCCAGCTACTTGGGAGGCTGAGGCTGAAGGATCTCCTGAGCCTAGGAGGTCAAGACTGCAGTGAGCTGTGATTGTGCCACTGCACTCTAGACCGAGTGACAGAGTAAGACTCTGACTCAGAAAAATCAAGAAAAATTCTTACTTTTTTTCCAACTACAGTGGTCAGCTAGGTGTCAACCTAAAATAATCAAAAGTGTCAGAATCTGGTTTAAAGAGAGCTAATTCAAGCACAGAATTTAAGGACAGACCTCTCAGGAAGCATAGAAGATTGGAAGTCAGTGTTCCAAAGTGTCGACGTTTGGGATCGCTTATTAGACAAGGTTAGGACTTCACCATCTTTGTACGTAAGGCTTAATGATAGCTGCGATGATCTGATTAGCTGAGGTGATTGGTCTTTTGCTCTTGGGAAAGGGACATTTAACATCCCGCCGTAAAGAAGTCACAGTCACGGGGTCTTTGGGCGCCATCTGGCTCAGTCGGGTACAGGACAATAAAGGAGGCCGTTCATCTGGAGTATTGATCAGTAATTGAAGGGGAAGTTTGGGACTGTGTCTATCCTGGTCATTTACAAGTAAAACCAATAAGGACAGACTTCATCTATAATCGAGGAAGCAGAATTGCAAACACACTACGTGGCTCAGTCTCCGGCCTTCACTGCCCCTTGGCTTTAGTTTAGAGAGTCCTGAAATTTTAGTCTTTTACACAAGAGTGACTCATGTGGACCGTTTTCTTCTTTTTTTTGGGGGGGGGATGACATTTCTCAACTGACGTATTAACATCCACTTGTCATTTTCAAGCCTACAACTCTCCTTGGAGGGAGCTGGCAAATGCCAGGCCTTGGGGCCAGACTGTCACAGGAGACCCATGCTGTAGGTGTGTCAACCACTCGAGTAGGCCAGACTCCACCCAGGGACTCAGGACAGAGGAGGCTGATGCCAGAATTACAGGTCTTAAGCGTGAAATGAGGAAGGTAAAATCCCCGTATGTTTTTGTCCCAAGTAAGGACATTCTTTCCTCATTTGTAGTTAATTTCCCTTTGGATCCTAAAATCCCGGTCTCAGCTTTCTTTTCTTCCTCCACAAGTTTCTTTGGGCCAGATGCTTGAACAGTCCCGGGCAAGGGTAAGTTTGTGAGTGCCCCGTGTCTGTGTACAGCTGAAGCTTGTGGCACTTAGTAATGGGAGTGGTGCTTTTGGATTTCAAGCTCGCCGTCCTCGGAGCCTGCCTTTGCCACGGGCCTGGAGGGAGCCCCTGTTCTTGTGCCAGAATGGCGGCGTCCACGCGGAAACTGCTTCTCCAGCTCAAACAAGAGGTATTGCATTCTCACAGCGGCAAAAGCTTTCATTTTGCTTCTCTGTAATGGTAGAATTAAGTGGCAGTACTGGTAATACTTAACTTCATTTTAGTAGTACTGGGAAATGATGCTTAGTTGTATATGCAGCTGGTTTCCCAGGTTCCAAAATATAGGTAGTACTCGGTGTGGTATTTGAAGCCACCTAGAGTCGTTTGCCTAAGTTTGTAGTTAATGTTTCCTAAACCCATCTTTTTCTCATCTATACATGGCCCTAAAATTACTATATAACAGAGGGGGCAAGGTACATTTACGCTTCAGATGACCAGGATCAGCAACACAGATTAAAGATGTGTTTGCAAAGCAGCGAGGTACAGTGGAAGGAAGACTTGTACCAGCCAGAACTGGGTTTGCATCTTTGCTTCAGTATTTTCTAGTTGTGTGGCTTTGGACAGAAGAAATCTCCATTTTTTTATTATATTAAATGGAGGGTCATACCTACCCTGGAGGGTTGTTGTGGAGGTAACAGCCAGGCGTGGTGGCTCACGCCTGTAATTCCAAAACTTTGGGAGGCTGAGGTGGAAGGATTGCTTGAGTCCAGGAGTTTGAGACCTGCCTAGGCAACATAATCGGGACTCTGTCCCTACAAAAAATTTTAAAATTAGCCAGGCGTGGTAGTGTGTAGTCCCAGCTATTTGGGAGGCTGAGGAGGAAGCAATCGCTTAAGCCCAGAAGGTTGAGGCTACAGTGAACTGTGCTGGTGCCACTGCACACCAGCCTGGGCAACAAAGCGAGACCCCACCTTAAAAAAAAAAAAGAAGAATAGAGGAAATGGACATGTAATGTTCAGTACAGTGCCATGAACATGCCAGACATGTAATCAAACGGTAGTTGCCACTGCAATTGGGCTTTGATTACAAACACAGTACATAGTCCATAATTCTAAACACGTGTTACCTTTATTGACGATATGGAATTTAAAGTCTTTGGAATATAGAAGAAAGCTGACAGCTAAACATTAAGAAAAGCATAAGACTTCATTGGTCAGAGTCAAGGTTAGCTACGGGAGGCGTTCATCATCTGATTTCCAGGGTATTGTCTGCAATGGCCACGGCTGAGTGGAAATGCAGTCTCTGCTCTCCCCCCATCTTTCTTGCGGGGCCTTTCTTCCTGGGCGTCGGGCAGGACACACAGGGCCTCTCTGGGCTGGACCCCAGGGCTGGATGAGCAGGGAGCTGACAGGCCCCACAAGGGGAACTGCTGGTCGCCTGGATCAGAGTGGCCGCTGCTGCAGACGGGAACTGGCAAGTAATAATTAATGGGAGCAGGCAAACTGGACACAGGCAACACACCAGCGCTAGGCAGGGAGGTCACCGATGTTCGCCGGATCCAGCATTTAGACAGGAATCGTTCTGGTTTTGCTGCTGACACCTCCTTTCTTTCAAAACAGCTGGAAGTTTTGCAGAAGAGTAAAGAGGAGGCTTACATGATGGCAGATGCATTCAGAACTGCATTTGAGCAACAGCTAATGAGGAAAAATGACCAGACACTGAGTCTGACACAAGTGGATAAAACGTGTAAAAATGCAACAAAACGGACAAATTGGAAGCACCTTAAAGAGGACGGTAACTATGAATTATAATGGCAACAGTCATATGTAATTTTAACCATTTTGGGGTATAATCAAAGTTGGCAAGGCACAATTAATTCAGTGTGGTAGAAAAACTGAAATTTCACATATGGTTGTGATTTATTTAAAAATTTAGCAGCTCCATTGCCTTACTAGACTCTGGTGTGGCTGTGTGCTCTTTGAGCTATGGCCATTGCCATGTTCCTTGGCTTTGCCCCCTCCCCTACCATGGGGAGGTGAATCACCTCTTTCTCTCTCATTTACTTTTTGTTTTTGTTTTTTTTTGAGTTGGACTCTCACTCTGTCGCCCAGACTGGAGTGCAGTGGCCGCTCCCGGCCGCCGCAGCCTCGGCCTGCTGGGCTCCGGCGATCCTTCCGCCTCAGCCTTCCAAGTAGCCGGAATTACAGGTGTGCACTACCACGCCCGGCTGATTTTTTGATTGATTGTAGAGACGAGGTCTCGCTGCCCAGGCGGGTCTCGCACCCGTGGGCTCAGGCCATCCACTCACCTCAGCCTCCCAAAGGCGCGGGCTGACGGGCTGAGCCACCGAGCCCGTCTCTCATTTACTTTTTCAATAAACTATGTTTTCTCATCTAAGTTCTGTGCAATTCTTTGCATCTTTCATGTGGCATGAGATCACACAGCACACCACACAGCAGGCCTGACCCGACATTCTGGAGGCCCCTTTAGGATTGTGACCTAACAATACCTATTTGGTAGATGACACTGTTAAATTAAAAAAAAAATTTGGCAACTACGGGGAAAAAAGGGTCACTGGACGTTACATGTGCAGATGAGCTGTCGGAATCAAAGCCGCAGAATAACGGGAGCTTCTCTTGCTGAGCTCTCTTCGGTTTCGTTCGCATGAACCCTTGGGTAGCGGGGAAAAGCTTCAGGAGAGGTGCTGGGTGATTAAAGGGAAACTGCCAGGAGGGGAGTGACGCTGAAAGCGAGGTCCCTCCCAGCCGAGGCAGCAGGAGGGGGGAAGTGACACTTAAGTCGGCATGAAACGTATCTGGCTAACGAAGCTCTGTCGAAGTGTCCGCGGGGAGACGTCGGCGGTGGAGGAAGGAGCCCAGGCCGGACGCGGCGATGAGGCGCTGCTCGGGGAAGCGCCGGCCTGCGGCGCAGCCGGAAGTCCCAGCCCGGGGGAGGCG